GACGGTTGGTTGATAGGGATAACTTTGTTGATCACAATCAAGTGTCTGATTCGGCAAAGATCGCTGAGGTGAGGTTCCCGCTGTGGACACAATTCTGTGTTGATGCGAACCACTTTCTGTATTTATACAGGTTGCAAACTTCGAAGAAGACGGAACTACCTCGGGTCCTTTTTGGTTTTCTATTGCGTGGTCAACCCAATCGTTTACTCTGTGAGAAAGACAATCAACCGAAGACGCCAGGTCGAGATGCTGATCTATTTCAGACTCTTCGAGGTATTCAGTTTCAAGCAGTTTTGCTTCAGCTACTTTAATACAATTTTTTTCGCTTAATCGTTCCATTTCAAGTCGACTTTTTTCTATTCGTAAACGATATTCTGGCTCTTTACGGTTTATTTCAAATTTAATTTCTTGTTTTTTTCGTTCCATCTCAATCAGATGCTGTTGCTCTTTGATGATGGCTTCCTGTTATTTCAGTCTTAAGTTTGCTGCATGTTGTTTTTCCAACTCTTCTCGCTTCATCTTTTCTAGGAGCAGTTCTTTGCGGCGCTCACTGGGGGTCAATGATTTCATTGAATTTGGCTTACTCGACCCAGATTTTGCCGATTTTGGTGAAATTTTTGATCGACTAGTTTAACCGACGCAGACCTCTGAAGCCCGATTAGATTCCATATGAGCCGGAGCCTTACCAGTTACTTCATCGTTATCTTAAACTATCCTATACCACCATGCAGCCAACTCCGTTAATAGTTTGCTAGGTTTATCGGTTTTATTAGCTAATATCACGAGTTCATCATTCTAAGCTAATGCTTTTACGAGCATACTCTTGCAGGATTCAGTTAAGATCCTAATTGGTCCCTCTAAACTCTCAGTTATACAACTGTGAACTACGGAAAGCTCATTTTCTAGTAATGTTCTACCATTCATCAATCGTCGATATTTCAACTCAGTTTGTTCTGTCGTTTTGAATAATTATAAAATTGTTCACTTCTACTCAACTGCTCAACTGCTCAGCTTGAGGGAAAAAAAGGAATTATTAAAGTAAGACCTAAACTTAAGAATCAAAAAATTATATTATGACTCATTAAACAATATCACACCTTAAAGAAGCACTTTATTTAACTCCTAGTTGCTGCTCAGCAATTTTTCTGCTTTGAATAGCTTGCCGCTTGCGTTTTCCTGGCTTAGGAGTATTTTTCTTTGAAATAATATACTTCAAATTGTTCCTTTAACGCCTAAGGATCGTAAACGTTTTCAGTTCTAGAGAGGGATCCTGGTGTAGTTCTATGTAATTTTGCGCTAACTCATTGAGGTTCTGCTTCCTTCTAGATATCAGGTCTGTTACTATAAAAATAACCAGTATACCTGACTCTTTCAACTTTCTATAAATATCTTCCGTGCCTACACGTTTACAGTAAGCGATTGCATAAATACAACGTTTATAGTTTAAAAGAATCTTCTTAAGCTGGTTGAGAGTTAGTGCGTTAAGGTTGTTAATACGGCGTCGACTATTAGAGTTATAAACGGCTTCGTGCGAAATAACAATTTCGCTTCGGTTTAAGAGCTAGTGATCAGTTGATACTTACAAGTTTTACGGACATTTACTGCGTTATGGTTATGATTGAAACTTAACCCGGGACTGGTTATGCACGATTGCGATACACGCTTTTGCGAAGCGGGCGAAAGTATTTTCAAAGCGTGGTGCAGCGAGTTAGCAGCTAGTATAAACATAAAGTGAATTAAACCAACTTTAGAGGAAGGGAATCAAGCAAACCGCGACCTGACCTCCCGCAACACCCTGAGCTAACAAGGTTGTAGCAAAAGTTGGGACAATTTGCTTGATAATACGCTACGGGTCTCGACTACGGCTAATTTTATCCAATTGAACGAGTTTAGTTAGCTGCAGCACGTTTCAAGAATAAACACTGCATTTTTTTAAGAAATTTTTTTCGAAAATTTCGGTTTTTTTATTTCGAAAAGTTTCCAAAAATTTTTTTTTCAGAATTTTTTCTTTTCGAAAATTATTTTTCCAAGTTTTCACCCAACGGTTCAACTTCCAACAATAACCTAATGCGTTTGCGAGACTTTGAGATTTTTTTGCTTGCAAAGTCCGAAATTAGGACCAAATACTCGACTCGGTGCGCTTTGCTGAATAATTTGCAAAAGTTTAAAACTTTTGGAAAAAAATCAAAATTTTGGTCTTTTTTTCGATACGGTGTTGAGCTTACAAACACGGTGTTAGGATAAGGTAATTAGGGTTTGTGAGGCAGGTTTGTTCCTACACAGACAGAAAATTTTCTGATCAGATTTTGGTATCGAGAAAAATTGGGGGCTACAAGTTTGCCATCAGTAAGTTAGCACAAATGGATAAAGTTTTTGTTTTTTTAGTCTTACAAGTTTTGTAGAGGCGTTCACCGGTAGATTCCAAAATTAACAGAAAACTTCGGGTGTTGAGAAGAAATGGATGTCCACAATCCAGAATCAGGATACCTGAAAAGGCCTCCCCTTCTCCTAACTGGGACGTTTCGGCTAACTGGGTCATTTCGGACAATCGGGTCGTTTCGGCCAATCGGGTCATTTCGGCCAATCGGGTCGTTTCGGCCAATCGGGTCGTTTTGGCCAATCGGGGCGTGTCGGCCAATTGGTTCGTTTCGGCCAATTGGTCACCTTCTGACAAGTTTTGGCTAATTGGACACTTTTGGCCAATTCGGCAGTTTTGGGCCACTTTCGGCTATTGCACAATTTCAGCCAATTAAGTCGTGTTTGTACCAACTGGGTCGCGTTCGGCTAATTGGACACTTTTGGCCAATTCGGTTACTTACGGGCAAAATTCGGCTAAATATACAATTTCGGCCAATTGGGTCGTGTTTGGACAAATATCGGCTAAGGGGACACTTTCGGCCAATTGGGTCGTGTTTGGACAAATATTGGTTAATTGGACATTTTCGGGCAATTGGGTTGTGTTTGGATAAATTTCGGCTAATTTGACACTTTCGGCCAATTGGGTTGTGTTTGGACAAATTTCGGCTAATTGGTCACTTTCGGCCAATTGGGTCGTCCGGGAAAATTGTTCACGAGTATCTTCCGGAATATCTAATGTCCGGGTCGGCGGACCAAAATGTGGCTCACTCTCGTATACTGAAAGATCTAAGAAATTTGCTTCAATATCTGTAAATTATCGGCAATTTAAACAGATAATTTGACAATATAAAGATAACATAAAATAAGGTAAACATCTTCCGGTTAAAATGTTATCAAAACGTTTTTTCACAATCTCAAAATTTGTAAACATTTTTGATGGCAAACTGACCTTAATCGGACAAACCTGTAGTTTCAAGGCCTTTTGTCTAAGAAAATCTTATTTTTGCTTTTTCACTTTCGCGCTATAATGACGTCATTAATTTAAGCGCGAACATTCTCCCTGTTTCTTCTCCCAACAAACTTCGGCATTTCATCTGGGAAATTTTGATCGAAATTTTTCATAGTATTCAAATAACATTGCTGTACTGAGATCAACTTCAAATAGATATTTCAACTGTGAACTTCATTCGTTATGTTATGCGGGTTTAAGGATTACCAGTTTGCCCATTTTGGGATAAACAACGCGCGATATATGTTGTGATACTAACGCTTAAGCGGGAATTTCATCCGTTTTACAAATTGTTTAAATATCAGTTGAGGCATGGTTATTGTTGCTTCTAATATTTTGCTGTGTGCGATTATTGTTCCCTTTTTCGTAACGAAAGTAACGGAATATTTGTGCTCGAGGTGTTTTTTTTTTCTGCGGACAAATTTCGACTTTTTAACTAGCCTTTTTTGACGGATTTTTAAAACATTATCCGGAAGCTATTGTTTTCCTAAGCTTAATTTGGAAAAAAAATATTTCACCTGTGATCTTTTTTCGTAAAATTATAGGGATTTAAAGATTGCCATTTAGGCCAATTTGGGACAGTTAACGCGCGATATATTTCGCGATATAAACACGTGAGCGAGATTTAATCCGTCTTAGAAGTCGTTCCAAATTAGTTCCTGATATTCCATAATTGATTCGTTAAAAGGAACAAAATCTATCACTTTGTTCGTAATAGGGCGTGTGGGGTGATGTTTTCACAAAAAATCTCAAATAAAAAAATGTTTTCTTTTTACTTTTAAATTTTTCATGTTTTTTCTGCTCCAGAGGCTTTAAAAGGCAGTCGGAATTTTCAGGGCTTCGCCCTGAACTGAGCTGTCTTGTTTTGTTTTTATTGTTCCGACTTTCGTAACAATAGTAACGGATAATTTGTGCTCGGTGTGGGTTTTATTTTCTTCCGACAAAATTCCACTTAATAACTAGCCATTTTTGACGGAGTTTTTTTCATTATCATTCAGAACCTGTTGTTGTCCTGAGCTTAAATTTGAAAAGATGTTTTACCTGTGATCGATTTTTGTAAATTCATGGGTTTTTAAAGATTGCCATTTTTGGCCAATTGGGGACAATCAACGTGCGATTTTTTTTGCGCTATTAACGCGTAAGCGGAGTTGTAATCCGTATTGTAAATTATTCCAAAATGGTTCAAGTAAGCTTATATGCCATACTTGATTGTTTAATAGGAGCAACTTTTATCATTTTGTACTTAATATGGCGTGTGGGGAGATATTTTTAGAAAAAATTTCAAATTAAAAAAACAAAAATTTATTTTATTACATTTAAATTTTTCAAGTTTTTTACTGCTCCAAAGACCTGAAAAGGCAGTCGGAACATTCGAGGCTTCGTCCTGATACGAGCAGTCTTGTATCGATTTGTACATAACAATTACCTGTGAGGGGTGAGGGGTCTCGAAAGAGTTATCATCCATTTTTTTCAAAACTGAAACTTCTCCATAAAACCTAAAAAGCATTCGGACCATTCAAGTCTTCGCCATAAATTGAGCAGTCTCTTTACCTATGAGTGCCTGAAATAAAATTCAATTTTCCCGCTTGAAAATCATCAAATACCCTTATGTGATTGTTTTTTCATTTATCAGCCTCTGTGACCAGAAATGACGTGCGAGAATGCAATGTTTACGCCACATCCCTGCCCGTCTGCGAAGACATAGAAAACCTACTTAAAACAACCGAAAAGAACGAGTGCGCCAAACTCATGCAGGGCTGTGGTCCCTGTGAGAACTTCGTGGGGGGATACTGGTGCAACTGTGTCACTGGCTTCCAGCCGGACTTTGCCGAGCAGAACTGTCTAGACGTTGACGAGTGTCTTGAGAACCCTTGCGACTCAGATGGTTACCACAAAAAACTTCGTTTTTATTCAAAAATAGTATACTACTAGCATGTGATTCAATTTAGCTTTAATTCTTTCGACCAAAATTTGGCTTGATAAATCAAGTACATGAAAAATTCAATCAACTTATTGAGGAAACACAAATGTCTGACAGTTTTCCTAACAGACGGTATATTTCCTAGTCTCAAAGAATACGTTTCATTTTTTTTGATAAATGTTTTCTAAACTGTTATGAAAGGTTACTGTGAGAACAACGTGGGGTCCTTCGAGTGCTTCTGCAACCAGGGCTACGAGGGAAATGGGTTCAACTGCTCCGACGTGGACGAGTGTCTGGATGAAGAGTCCTGTCACTGGCGGGCATCCTGTACGAACCATCCAGGCACCCACAGCTGCTACTGCAACGCCGGATATGAGGGAGATGACTGTGCGGATGTGGATGAGTGTGCCAGGGGTGTGAGCACTTGTAATGTCGACACATCAAGGTAAACAACTGGAACACAAGGCTAACTGATAGGCCGTGCAGGTAGGACAGAATATTCTCACCAAAGTAATTCAATTAAAAAATAATGACATTTTTCAGAATGTTACACACAATTTTCGCCTTTTCCAACATTTGTGTAGTTTTCTTGTTTCGCTCTGTTGAGTTGAAATCAGATCTGAATTAGATGACTGTTAAATTTCAAAATAATGAGAACATAGGAAAGTTCAACAATTTTTCCCTTTTTTCAGTTTTTGTTCAGTTTTCTTGATTCGTTATCTTGAAGTGAAATCGACTCCAAACTAAATAAAAAATAGCCTAAATTAGCTAGAAAATCCTACTTAAATCAACAAGTTGGAACTGATTGATTTACTGAAAATTCTTTAGCTCTGCTGAAAAACGAAAAAAAGTCAGGCTAGTTTTAATATGAGCTATCACTTGACCATCAAATATTTTTTGTGATATCTGGTTTTGCACGGAAGACAGACTTCCCTCTCACTCCTAGGAATGGTTGGTTGGAACAGAAGGATACATACATGTCTTTTTCAAAAAGATGATTCGAACTTTCACACAACCTGGATTTCATATGAAAAATGTTCATCACGATTCGAAAAAAAAGGTATTTTAAGTTTCTTCTAATAGCTCAGCAGTATTTTCATGAAATATAAAACTCATTTAGATTGAAATGTTTTTTTTTTTTGTTCTGGGAATGGCCTTTGAAAGCGAGCCTGTAGCTTCAACGGTTAGATCAGCAAGTCACCAGCGCTCTACATTAGTCGAGATTTGCCATAGGAATAATTTTTGCATTATTTTTTCCGCCTCTATGGCTGGATACTTGTTTGTTTATCAGTTGTGTAAACACGATCGGATCTTTCGACTGCTCCTGTAAGGCCGGATTTGTGAAGGACCAAACTGGTGATGACTGTGTGGAGAAGGACGACTGCAATCCAGACCCCTGTCCAGACAACTCAGACTGCGTAGACCAGATAGGGGGCTTCGAATGTGAATGTCACGAGGGCTACAAGGGAAACAAATACGCCTGTGTTGACATCGACGAGTGCTTCGAGCTGACTGAAAATTCCGAGCTGACTGAAAATCCTTGTGGTGAGAACTCCAGGTGAGATTCGAATCAATTTCGAAATTGATGATCATAAAACTTAATAAAAGTCATGTTTTGTTGAAAATGTAAGAGAGTATCACATAAACCTGGAAACATTCTTTATGTTGTTGAAAATAATTTTATACCAGCCCAAAGCGCAATGGCTTTTGGATCTGAAAAGAGGTGATATTACCTTTTTACAAATCAACCTTTTAAATTAGTCTTACTTTAAGTACCTTATACTAAATGTCGTAGAATTGTTGCTAACGCTCTAGACTAATCTATCTTTTTAACATGGTTTAGACAAGTGCGTCGAATTTACGTGGATTAGATTTTTTTTGGAAAAATTTGACGAATGAGAACCACCAACAATGGGATAAATGGTCGGAAAATGTCCATTAAATTTTGTGGCATCAGATTCATTTGACATTGAAGATGCGCTAAACCAACCGGTCAGATACGAGTTGAAATGCCGCATACCTGAACCAGTGGAAGTGACCGAGGATCAAACCAACCGGTCAGATACGAGTTGAAATGCCGCATACCTGAACCAGTGGAAGTGACCGAGGACCAAACCAACCGGTCAGATACGAGTTGAAATGCCGCATACCTGAACCAGTGGAAGTGACCGAGGACCAAACCAACCGGTCAGATACGAGTTGAAATGCCGCATACCTGAACCAGTGGAAGTGACCGAGGACCAAACCAACCGGTCAGATACGAGTTGAAATGCCGCATACCTGAACCAGTGGAAGTGACCGAGGACCAAACCAACCGGTCAGATACGAGTTGAAATGCCGCAAACCTGAACCAGTGGAAGTGACCGAGGACCAAACCAACCGGTCAGATACGAGTTGAAATGCCGCATACTTGAACCAGTGGAAGTGACCGAGGACCAAACCAACCGGTCAGATACGAGTTGAAATGCCGCATACCTGAACCAGTGGAAGTGACCGAGGACCAAACCAACCGGTCAGATACGAGTTGAAATGCCGCATACCTGAACCAGTGGAAGTGACTGAGGACCAAACCAACCGGTCAGATACGAGTTGAAATGCCGCATACCTGAACCAGTGGAAGTGACCGAGGACCAAACCAACCGGTCAGATACGAGTTGAAATGCCGCATACCTGAACCAGTGGAAGTGACCGAGGACCAAACCAACCGGTCAGATACGAGTTGAAATGCCTCATACCTGAACCAGTGGAAGTGACCGAGGACCAAACCAACCGGTCAGATACGAGTTGAAATGCCGCATACCTGAAACAGTGGAAGTGACCGAGGACCAAACCAACCGGTCAGATACGAGTTGAAATGCCGCATACCTGAACCAGTGGAAGTGACCGAGGACCAAACCAACCGGTCAGATACGAGTTGAAATGCCGCATACCTGAACCAGTGGAAGTGACCGAGGACCAAACCAACCGGTCAGATACGAGTTGAAATGCCGCATACCTGAACCAGTGGAAGTGACCGAGGACCAAACCAACCGGTCAGATACGAGTTGAAATGCCGCATACCTGAACCAGTGGAAGTGACCGAGGACCAAACCAACCGGTCAGATACGAGTTGAAATGCCGCATACCTGAACCAGTGGAAGTGACCGAGGACCAAACCAACCGGTCAGATACGAGTTGAAATGCCGCATACCTGAACCAGTGGAAGTGACCGAGGACCAAACCAACCGGTCAGATACGAGTTGAAATGCCGCATACCTGAACCAGTGGAAGTGACCGAGGACCAAACCAACCGGTCAGATACGAGTTGAAATGCCGCATACCTGAACCAGTGGAAGTGACCGAGGACGAAACCAACCGGTCAGATACGAGTTGAAATGCCGCATACCTGAACCAGTGGAAGTGACCGAGGACCAAACCAACCGGTCAGATACGAGTTGAAATGCCGCATACCTGAACCAGTGGAAGTGACCGAGGACCAAACCAACCGGTCAGATACGAGTTGAAATGCCGCATACCTGAACCAGTGGAAGTGACCGAGGACCAAACCAACCGGTCAGATACGAGTTGAAATTCCGCATACCTGAACCAGTGGAAGTGACCGAGGACCAAACCAACCGGTCAGATACGAGTTGAAATGCCGCATACCTGAACCAGTGGAAGTGACCGAGGACCAAACCAACCGGTCAGATACGAGTTGAAATGCCGCATACCTGAACCAGTGGAAGTGACCGAGGACCAAACCAACCGGTCAGATACGAGTTGAAATGCCGCGTACCTGAACCAGTGGAAGTGACCGAGGACCAAACCAACCGGTCAGATACGAGTTGAAATGCCGCATACCTGAACCAGTGGAAGTGACCGAGGACGAAACCAACCGGTCAGATACGAGTTGAAATGCCGCATACCTGAACCAGTGGAAGTGACCGAGGACCAAACCAACCGGTCAGATACGAGTTGAAATGCCGCATACCTGAACCAGTGGAAGTGACCGAGGACCAAACCAACCGGTCAGATACGAGTTGAAATGCCGCATACCTGAACCAGTGGAAGTGACCGAGGACCAAACCAACCGGTCAGATACGAGTTGAAATGCCGCATACCTGAACCAGTGGAAGTGACCGAGGACCAAACCAACCGGTCAGATACGAGTTGAAATGCCGCATACCTGAACCAGTGGAAGTGACCGAGGACCAAACCAACCGGTCAGATACGAGTTGAAATGCCGCATACCTGAACCAGTGGAAGTGACCGAGGACCAAACCCAGCGGATGGCTAGAGGGAAAAAAACAGACAAGCAATCTTTGTCTATAATGAAGATCTCCGGAAACGAAAAGAGGAAACTCAGCAAAATAGAATAGTCTACAGATAGGGGACAGCAACAAAAAACTAGAAAAAGAACTAGTGAAAGGTTATGCTCACCAAAAGCCAGGCAATGAATGTTAAACATCAATTTCACAGAATTTCGGAGTTCCTGAAGGCTAATTTTACGATAAAAATGTAAAATTAGTTCTCTTACAAATTTCACGAATCTTATCTGAACTAGCTAAAAACTGTTAGTTATGAGACTTAGAAAAGAAATTTTTTAGAGAATTTTTTTTTTAAATGAGTCGAAATGCAGAAAAAAACGAACATCAATTTTGTAAACCCAGAAAAATTGTTAGCACATGTCATGTCTTGGTAGAAGGCACAAAAATCGATCAACAATATTGAACATATTTTATATAATTTTCAGCAAAAAAATTCCAGATCAAAAGCAAACCTACACAAAACCAAAACGTTGGACAACAATTTGAAAAAAAGCGTCTCACTTCGTGTCCAGCTAGTGATCTTAACCATTACAACTGTGGCCATAAGAGTCATTTCGCTAAGCACTGCAGAAATTACATTCGAAATCAGACGTATTTGGGAGTTGAAGTCTCCCAACAGCTGGCACCACCCGCGCAATCTTTATCTCGGACTGTAGCCTAGGAAAGCTCCATCGGGATCTACAATAACGAAATCAAGTTCGAAGCAGATATTTGTACAGTTACTACACCTGAAATATCTCAACTCTTGAAACCAAATCCAAGTCAAGGAAAAACAAAATCCCCTGCACCAAAAACCAAAACTAAAACGATTCTTTGACCATCTAAAAAGAGAAGGTTATATTGAAAAACTCTCTAGGTGTTCAGAAGATTGCTTCATCTCTCAAAATTTAATTTCGGCAAAAAGAGACGGCTCGATATAATCAGCTTGAGTTTTCAAGATGCAGAACAAATGAATCTTTCGTAACATGTACAAAATGCCAAACTTGATCAATTTAATCGGTATTTTCACTTTGACGGCCAGTGGCTACAAAAATGGTTTTCATTTATTGAGTTTAAAAAAAATGCGTTTTGTTAAGAACCAAAAATAGAAAAAGCGAGTAGTTCATGCAACTTCATGAAGTAGGAGGCGATGTTACCAGATCGTAACTGGCCGAATTACTTTAAGCGAAAGATGGATAGTGAGTTAGGACTGGAGTGTAACTCATAGAGTAATTTCGGATAGGGTACACCGTCTGCTCGTCACGCTATCTTATTTTCGGCCGGATAGATTCGTGCAACTTCTTAGTCTAATACCGATCCTAATCTTACTCTTATACTATCTAGTCTCAGGTTGTTTAACTAGTCTCTGCTAGGCTCAATAGATCTAGGGTATACTGGTTTATTGCGGCTGCTGAAGTGCTCGGGAGAGTCCAACTAATTTCTAAGTTAAATTCAAATCTCTCTGGTGCTGAAATTACAAGTAACTTCAGCACTTACAAATAAGTGGGTTGTTAGTTAGATGGATCATGATTGGTTAATATTAAATACTTTACATTGGTAAAACATTTAATTTATCCAATCATAAAATATAGTTTAGATCAGGTTCCACCCATCCGGGTTTTACAGAGTTTTTTAGAACAGTTCTTTTGTAGTTCAAGGATGGATGATGGACGTTGGTATTTGGCGAACATCATTTTTCTTTTGTTTCCTTTTTGTTAAGGAAGTTCCAGGGATCTGGAATTGAGGACACAAGACGTTGTGTTCTTCTTGTGACAACGACTGAGTCTCTGCAACAGCATCAATTCTGGTTTCAGAATGGTTGGCTATGTCAGGTTTTTCTGTTCTTCGGAGAGAACTTCTTTTGTGTTTGATCTAGCTCGGGAATGGCGTGGAGATTGTGCGTGGAGGGGATGCCTGGTTACTCGGATCTGTACGTATACTTGAACATCGAGGTGGTCATTGGTCTAGTTCAATGAAGTCCTTTTCTGCGAGGTCAAGTCGTACTCTAAATCCTTTGAGTTGTGATTGTGAGCCGCATATCGATTATAGTTGGTCATTCTCTCTCGAGTGTAGTGAGGTCGTCTTGTCTTTTGATGTTCGTCCTTGGTGTTGTATTCTGATCTATATATTGCATCATGTGATTTTACATTTTATAAAACTTTTATTAATTTAATATTTTTTAATTATGATTTTAGTTAGTTGTTTTCACAAAAGCTTTTTGTTTTAGTTCGGTTATTTTGAAGAGTTACTCACCCTTGAGTAGCTCTTATTA